TACAGTTTAGAAGAATACATTGTATAGAAATTTGGGGTTATTTGGAAATGAAAAGTTACTATTATTATTATCAAGTCCTAATAATTCAATACAAATAATGTACAATATTGTACCTATCTTGTTCTCTATGTTACTCTATTTAGGTATAGCCCCTTATTTCTCATATTAATAAAGAAGTCATTGATTAGCTCACATTTTCTTTCTATGCGATTAAACAACTGCAATGAGACTAATCTTTACACTAACTTTTTCTCTGCTCCCCAAAAAAGGGAGGAAAATTAAAATATTCATAATTTACATTTTATTAGCATAATTTTGACAAAAAGACTTTTCCCAAGTTAAAGACATTGCAATTCAACAGCACTTACAAGAAGCTGGTTGCACTTGTTTATATATTAAGCAGATATTTAACATTTCATAATATATAAAAGTGACACAGTTTAAGACTCATGTTCTTGATCAGCTTTGCTTAAATTTTTCATTTTGTTGTTTTGAAGTCAAATAGACACAGAGTCTAAAGTTCCAGGTACATTTCCTTTACATCATCCCCCAGAGAAAGAACACTGTTGATCTCTGTTCTTGCACAAGACTTTTTTTCTTCCTGGTAGTCCACAGTTAAATATATCAGTAATCCTGGACAACAGTCCCTGTTTCCCTAATCTAATGAAAAAATTATGACCTACCCATTCAACGTTACTGCCATGGTCTACCACCTTTTCCTTTCACTTCAGCTGTATTTATTCTGATGTAAAATGAAACAAGAGATCACAGAGGATTTTTAGTCAGCAAATCTCTGAAGATGCTAAATATTTCATTAGTTAATCCCTAACAGATAGACAGAGGATAAGTAGCTCCACACTGGTGTGAAGCATACCCTCTATCCACATGCCAAAATAGGGAAAGTATATAGGCTTACTATTGATCAAGCAAAGACAACAAGAACCCACCTTTTTTATTTTCTGGTTTGATATGAACAGAGCAGGTTTTAAACAAACAAACATAAAAAGATTTGTTCATGTTGGTTTTTGTTCCTTGTTTTGTTGTTTTGTTGTTTTTTTGTTGTGTTTTTTTTTAAATTTTGATTTGCTATTAATACCATTTTGAAGTTTATCATGAAAGAAATACAAATTAAGGGTCTGTTATGAGCCTTTTGTGTTTTTTTTTTTCTCCCCCAGTTATGATAGGAGTTAGCAATCTCCTTCAGAATCCACAGATTCAAATGATAAAGGCCAGGGATTAAGCACAGCCGATTAACAGTCTGTGTCCTCTTCAATCTAGCATTTCCACTGTAGATAAACCCATATTCAGACTGAAGTTATAATAAACAGACTGTCCTCAATATCATTTCCCTAGATGACCTCCTCAAAACTGACATTCAAGTATTCTTGTGGAAAATTACAGTTTATAGTAACTGAAAAAGCAGAAACGACAATATATATCTACACAAATGATTCTGAAAATCAAGCCAAATGTTTAGAAAGCAGTTGGAAAAAATTATAATTTCACTATGAATATTTCTTTTGCTTCAGTTCTTAGTAATTTCTTATTACTACAGGTTTGATATAGAAAATGAAAGAAGATTCCTAGATTTTATTTTGATTGCTTGTACTATGTATCTTCAAAATAACTGTATTGTTATTTATACTTATGCAAATCTCAGTGGATTACAGTGGTTATAATTCTTTCCCTTCCAAAGGCAAAGGAAAAGAAACATTGAAATTCTACGGTTACCTTAGATGGCCTGAAATACAAGGAAATATATACTTTAAGGAAAGTGTCATCAAAAAACATTTCCAATGAAAAACAGCAAAAGAATAAAAATCTACATGGGAGCAATTACAGAAATATTCTGTTCAGTATGTGTATTGACTTCTATCATAAAGAATACTTTCACTAAAAATGAAAAAATAAAAGGCTCTAAAAACAAAGATATTTTTGTTTTGTAAGAAACGTCGACAGGGGAAATTCTGACAGGATTCTGCTGATATTTGACATTTGAAATGCAGAATCCTATGGGTCAGAAGAAAGGAAATGATTAATACAGATGCAGACTGCGTAACAGGGCATTTTATTTCTTTACCTACAAGCTAGAACTATTTTAAGGAAATAATTTAATTTCACTCTGCTTCTTCAGAAAAAAAGCAAGAATATTTCAAACTATTTTATTATAAATACCTAAACTTATCACCTAGCTAAAGAGACTGAATTCTCCTCTTTATTTCCATTAGTTTATAGTGGCAGGATTACAATGAAGCAATTCTGAAATCAGAGGAAGGTATGAGTGCATTTATTCTTAACTTCTTTATTAAAGTACATGATCAAAATCTGTTTCCCTTTGACCAAACCACACAAGTGATGAGAATCAGGGCCGTGCTTTACAGTGACAACTCTCCCCCACCAAAAGAACAAAACAAAACAAAAAAACCCCAAACAAAACCAAAAACAAACAAACAAACAAACAAAAACAAACCTGAGCTGCATTTTGATTAGTTATTCACCAGAACTGACTTGAAGTAAACACTGCATATGAGCACAGTGAATTCAACAGAGTTGTTCACCTGTTCTTTTCACCAAAGTTAAAAAAAAAAGGGCACATAAATTGATTCAGATTAAGTTCCATAATCAGAAAATTAATTAGGTTTGGATAATTCCAGCCACCTTTTCTTCTAGACAAAACAGTTTTAAACATCTTTTAAATCAATCTGTATTTGAGAAAGAATTGAAAATGTGAATTTAATTCAAAGTCACTCACTTTGAGATCTTGCTTCAAAAACTAATTTCATGGTCTGTCTCCATAACAACATAGCTTACTTTTGCCAAATAAGACTCATATAATGAAGCATAACGTGTTTAATCAGATTGTATGGAGTACAATTTAAGGCTATTTATGTTTAGTATGATTTGGAGACATGCTAAGTTAGGAGATGTGATTTGTAGGTCAGTTCCCCTTAAGCATCTCTATGGGCAGATGACTGAATATTTAGCTCACCGAAAAAGCCCCTCTGAGTTATATTTAACTAGTGATATATTATACAGCATGCAATTAAAACGTTGTGTACTCCATTTATGAATTTTTAAATTTCTTGTTCTGCAGTGAAACCTGTTAAAAATGCTTGTCAGGAGCAGTCTTGCCTTCAGCTCATCACTCACATCAAACTTTGTCTCTCATTATTCAGCTACATATTCTTTTATGCATGGGTTTATATTTTGAAGAGGAGATTAAAAAAAAAAAAAAGGAAAGAGTGTTACAGGTTGGTAAGCCGTTCAGCCCACGAAATTTTATTTTCCATTTGGTATCAAACATTATTTTCCTATACATTCATATATATTTTTCCCTGTCTAGTCTCATGTGTTCCTGAATTAATTAATGAAACTTCTTATCATTGGATGAGGGGAATGTATGCATTTATTAAAACTGGACTCTAAAATAAGACTGAGTTAGCAAAGCTGATATTCCTTCAGTGAGAACAAATACAATCTTAACCCAGAATGCTTTCTTAGGGCAAGCTTACCCTAGTGACTAATTAAAAGCTGAAGGATAAAATCCAGAACATAAACAAATTTAGGAAAGAATTATCTGTGTTATTATCCAAGGAGTGAGAAGGAGTGCAATGAGACTGGAAGAGGGTCAAAAAGATCTGCTTCTTCATCTACACACACATGCACACAACACACACATGAACACACACATGTGCACACAGAGCCCCCATAAACACAGCTTTTCTTTCACAGCACTTTTCACTTAAGCAGCTTGGTAGTATTTACTTTTGTAAAGCTCTGGGTATTCCCAAACCTTACCCTTTTATTTTAAGCTTTCAAGTTTTTGCTTCAGCTGATGAGAACAGGAAAAGAAGGCGGTATGTTTATTGCTGGCAAACAGCTTGGAAATTCTGAGTAAAGAAGCCAATCAAGGCAGAAGGATTATAATAATCAAAGTACAAAATTTGCATATTTAAAGTATGGTTACTGAGAAATAACAATGCCTTGGTTATGTAAATCAAACCCTCAGCTAAAGTGAAGGGATTTGCATATCTGGGAGAAATCTGTCATGTTATGCATCAGTAACTACATTATAAGTAGCTGAAAGAACTGGCTTTTAGTAGAATATTAAATATAAGTGCCAGTAGTATTTTTTATTTCCCAGTGATATAAAATAGGCTTAACTCATTTGGGGCCTGATGAAAACAGGTCTTCTTGCCTGTAGGAAGCAATACTATTCAGAACAACCAAAGAGACATTCATCATGCATGCCATAAAGCTACAATTCTAAAGATTGAGATCATGTAAATTTTCAAAGAGTTCTGTGTTACCAATTGTGTTCATCCTTTTTGTCTATTGAAAGTGGATTAAAGTAGCCCTCTTGAGAAAGGATTGCATAAAACAGACAAAAGTTTAAGGCTACCTGTTCAGCTCTGCATAATAAAAGCATGTTTACTTCATTTTAAATTTAGTGAATGAAGAAAAATAAGTAGGAGTAAAACATTTCATAGATAAAAAATCCTAAAAAAAAAGCCCTGCTGACTGCTTTACTATAACAACTTTCTATTATCCATTAAAATCAAGCAGAGTTAATAGCAGACCCAGAGGTTTTATAATAAAACTAAAGGAAAAAGAAATTAGGGAAATTCTCCTTCAAAAATTAGTACATAACACTATATTTGTACCATTCATGTATGGAAAAATAAGTATGTTACTTCAGGTTAATGTTTATTTCCCCTTTCCTCTCTTGTGAATGATACTCAGCAGTATTTTAGATGTCAACTTAAGGCTAGTTTACACCCCCTGGCCACTGTTTGCAAATGAAACTGTGGATTGGTATTGCACTGAAACATGAGAGAGATCCTTGCAAGCATATTCAACCTACAAAGCATTACTTTTAATGCATGTTCAGAACATTATATATTTCTACAGATAAAACATGGAGAAACTCATCAAGATGCTCTAAAGACCTATGTGTAGAACTGGTGAGTGTGCTGCAGTGTGGTCCTCAGGGTACTTACCATCCTCTGTGGGCACATAGATATTCAAATACAGACAGTCTTCATTTTGATCTTGAACATATGTCACTACAGTATCCAGATTGGCTGTAAACCAGACTGGCAGCATATCGTTGAGCAGTGACCTCTCATCCAGGTACTGCGGGCAGACAGCAGCAAACTGTGTGGCGTTGCGGACACCCGTCCAAGATGATGGTGGTTCCGGGGGCTGAAATCGCCTTTCTCCAGTTGGAGGAGAGGCATAAGGAACACCCAGGTACTGCTCCACTGGACCAAGGATTTCATTAGGCAAAGGTGTTCTTAAACCACGTATTTTGCCATAATTCGTAGTAACAACTGGATATTGTGCTTGGCCATCGATGAGAGTAAATCTTATAGCCAGTGCAGTTATCCATAGGAGGAAGTTAGAATTCAACATGACACACATTGGAGTGAAGATCAAAGGCAGCCATAGGAGTCCCATTGGTTTCGACATTATTTAAATCAACATCAGCAGGGCTCTTTTTTTTTTCCACAGCCAGCAGAAAATTAATCAGTCAAGGAAAATGCAAACTGAAACAAAAAAAGTCGTCAAAAGGAGATGAAGTGAGGGAAAACGCAACCTTGTTCAGGCAACAAAAAAACCAAAAGCTGATGTGTGTAGGTGCCTCAGATGACTGGCCGTAGACAAATCCCAACATCAGAAGAAACAAGGGAGTGTTTGCCCCTAAGGCCCATCCCAGATTTTAGCGTTGACTTAATCCTGGCAACGCATAGCACTTCCTAGCAAGTAGCGTGGCAAGAGATCTGCAGTTATCCCACTGGCCCAGTGAAATGGTTCCTTCCGATGAAGTCCAGCCAACTCAGTCAGCCTGTGGCCAAGAGAAAACAGGTAATTCAAATCAACAGAGAAATTCATATAGCCATAAATCTAAAATAAAATTAAAAAAAAATAAATTCAACACTACTTCCATGTCAAGGCCCACAAAAGATTTATGAATTTTAGACATCATGGTTATGTGTTTCCAAAGACAGGTAGGGTAAGAGAGCTGAAACTGAAGTCATAAGCTTGTCAGAGGTTATAACACAACCCAAATATTTGTTCTTTTGTATATGGTTCCAATACAAATCACAGCCCAAACACTGTTGCTTTCAGGAAGGGTATCACATTTAAGTGCTAGCTCAAGGGTATTTTCTGCCCTAAATAAGTGGAATCTCCTTTTTGAGCATATTTTCACTCCCACAGGAACCATTCCCTGGTTTTTTTGCCTGTATTGGATAATCTGTCTTTGTTATGATGTGACTTCTGTAGAGTATTTTCCATATGACTTCTTTTCTGTATGACATCCAAATTTACCTTCATCTAATTCACAAATTTCAATTAATGGAATAGCATTACATTAGTTCAAATCAAGTGTGAGAACAGTTAGTAAAAATCAGATACAAATTCATTTGGTTTTGTTATCTGTTTTCTTTGTTCTATGTCTGACAAACAGAACAATGAAAACTGAAAAGAAAAAAAGTGTGATACAGTCTCTTGAAAGTCAGATTTCGACCTACATAGCATTACAATTACATAACATTACCTTCTTGCATTCTCCCACTTTTATTTTTAGACAGAAGGCAATTCCTACAATAATTCTGTTAATTTTTAGTGAAATACAAGTCACTTACATGTATATGCTAACCATTACAAGTAGTACAAATGAACACACATCAACATTCTTCTACCTGTCCAAAGAAATTAGTTCTTTTCACCTACTATTCAACTCAAAACCACAGACAAAAACTGTACAGATAAAAAAATCCGTATTATGGGAAACTGATGTTGATACCTTATATTTGGTAGGATGAACACACCCTTATATACCAAATTCATATAACTGAACTACCAGGTCCTGGTTTCAGTCAGGATTCTGACAAGGAAAGTAATTTGAAGGATAGTTCATTCTCCCAAAACTCCTGGTATTCTTTGATGACTTCATTTTATCACTCTTACCACAAAATTTTTGAGCACCTGAATACCAGAGGCCAGAAAAATATCAGATACATATTATTTGTGGTGGACTAAAATTTCTATTGACATTTTCACCAGGACTTGCAATTTGAGTGCCATTTTTGAAGAAGAAGTCGTTAACAGATCTAAGTGTTGTGTCCCTGAGGGCACCACCAAGGCCATCAGTCCCTGTCTGAGCTATGCTGTGGGAAGCTCTGTGCCCATCTCCATGCCCAGACTGGCTCTTGCCCTCACTGGGCCCCCAGGTCGACCTTGGACCTGACTCCTCACCCTGCCTGGCCTGATGATCATTAGGTCATGGCAGGGTCCTGTCCCTGTTCTCAACCCACCCTCAATGTGGTGCTTTAGAAGTTTAGAGTATTGCCATTCCAGCTCTTCAGTGCCCTCAGCTCCTGGGTCATCCTCCCTCCTGGTGCAGCCCTGCTTCAGCTGCTCCCTGACACTCAGAGTGATCAGCCAGCTATGGGTCACCTGAAATTCCTCCTCGAGCACCACCTTCCCTTCTGATTTCTGCTACTGTCATTAACAATTGAAGTCAGCAGTAGGTGACTGATTTGAACTATCTGCTCCCTCTTGCTCTCTATCTTTCTGACTTTGGCATACTTTCTGACCATGCAGTACAAATCAGATTTTCCAGTCATATCCGACTGACGATTTAACCTGTGCTCAGGGAGAAGCAACACATCTTAGTCCCTTGATGCCCACAGTACTGAAGTTTGTAATGACATTTTAAGAAGAGTGGAATAAATTGCTAAGAAAATTGACAAGGTGGAAGGAAAGACAGTGATCCAGATAATGAAAGGCAGAGAGAGGAAAAAAAAAGCAAATGAAAAAAAGAAAAACAAGACAAGAAAAGAAAATGAGAATGATAAATAAACAAAAAACCACATATTACCAGCATGGAGAGAACAAAAAATGACAACATGAAGGAAAGTGGAAATCGTCAGTTGATATAGTAGAGATAACATACAACAGTCAAAAATATGACATACTAAATAGCATGTATCCCCACTAATTACAGCAGGACTTTGGATCAAATATCTGTTTATATGCCATCATTTTGAATAGGCTGAAAGGACAGGAAAAGGGAAACATTTATTATTGACCTGGAACTGAATTTGTTATTCTTTATGCACACATAGACATTAGATTTTAAAGATCTTGAATCCATATGGAAATAAATCACTGGCTAACACAGAAAGTGGTCATATCTCTCAGATCCACTGTCTGAACTGTAACAGACCTGCAGCCTCTGCCAATCAGTGCAAAGAAATAAACAAACAGCACATAATGACAAGTGCATTGACACCGGCAAGATAAATATCATAGAAAAGGCAATTTTATGATAAGTCAGAATAAACTCACTTTTGTAAAATATTTTTGTTATTAAAAGTTATTAAGTTTAGACAGTTAAGTGGCAATCATTTTAAATAATTTCTTAGTAAATAGGTTTCACAGAGAAAGTTTAGATAAGTAATAAATTATGTATGACGACCATACAATAAGTCTTTAAACAGAAGTCTCATGAACAAAATTGTTTTTCAAAGACAGTATTACACAGAATCACAGAATCAGCAAGGTTGAAAGAGACCTTCAAGGTCACTAGTCCAATCAAGAGCCTCACACCACTATAATCACCCCTAAACCATACCCCAAGTGCCACATCCAGACATACCTTGAACACTTCCAAAGACAGTGACTCCAATACCTCCATGGGCAATTTGTTCCAATGCCTAACCACTCTTTAAGTTATTAGTTCCATTTATTTATTTCTGATATTTAATCTGAATGTCTCCTGATGCAACTTAAGGCCATTTCCTCTCATCCTTTCACTTGGGACATGACAGAAGAGACTGACAGAAGAGACTGACCTCCACCTCAAAACAACATCTTTTTGGGTACTTGTACAGAGCAATAAGGTCTCCCCTCAGCCTCCTCTTCTCTAGACTAAACAACCCCAGCTCCATCAGCTGCTCCACACAGGACATGTTTTCTAGACTCTTCAGCATCTTCACTGCCTCTATGTGGACACAGTCCAGCACCTCAGTGTCCTTTTTGAAGCCAAGAGCCCAAAACTTAACACAGGATTCAAGGTGCAACCTCACCACTGCCAAGTAGAGATAGACCATCACTTTGCTTGTCCTGCTGGTCCCACTATTTCTGATGTAACCAGGGTGCCACTGTCCTTGGTCACTTGGGCACACTGCTGGCTCATATCCAGTTAGCTGTCAACCAGCACCTCCAAGTCCCTTTCTGCTCAGCAGCTCTCAAGCCACTCTTCCCTAAGGCTGTAGTTGTGATCTACATGCAGGACCCAACACTTGGCCTTATCGATCCTCCTACAGTTGGCCTCAGCCAATCCAGACTCTCCAGATCCCTCTCATAGCCTTCCTACCCTCCAGCAGATCAACACTCCCACCCAACCTAGTATCTTCTGAAAACTTACTGAGGATGCACTCAATTACCTTGTCCAAATCATAAAGATACTAAACAGGACTGGTCCCAATACTGAGCTGTAGGAGATAACACCAGTGACTGGCCAGGAACTGGATTTAGTTCCATTCACCACCACTCTCTGGGACCAGCCATCCAAACAGTTTTTAACCCAGCGAAGACTGCACCTATCCAAGCCATGAACAGCTGGTTACCTCAGGAGAATGCTGTGGGAGAGAGTGTTATACAGTTTACTGAAGTCTATATAGATGAGATACACAGCCTTTCCCTCATCCACTTTCTGATAGAAGGAGAACAGGTTGGTCAAGCAGGATCTGCCTTTCTAAACTCATGTTGAGTGGGCCTGATTTCCCAGTTGTTCTGCACATGGCACTCAGGATGATCTGCTCCATAACCTTCCCCAGTACAAGGGTCAGGTTGACAGGCCTGTATTTCCATGGGTCGTATTTTGGACCCTTATAGTAAATGGGCATCAAATTTGCTAATTTCAAGTCAACTGGGCCTTCTTGCGTTAACCAGGACTGCTGGTAAATGATTGAAAGTGGCTTGGCAAGCTCTTTCACTAGCTTCCTCAGGTGCATCCCATCAGAGTCAACAGACTTGTGAGTGTCTAACTGGCTACAGAAGGTCACTAACCATTTCCTCCTGGATTATGGGGGTTTCACTCAGGTCCCCTAACTTTCAGCTCTGGAAGCTGTACAACCTGAGGACAACTGGTTTTGGTATCAAAGACAGAGGCAAAGAAGGAAGATTGATACAAGTAAGGCAAAAATATCCCACTTAGGATGGTATTTCTGCCCAGTTAGCAGAAAGTATCCCACTTATCAGTTTGTGAACATTACTAGAGATAATACCATTTTCATAAGGTTAGTTTCACGCACAAAATGCATACACATTCATACACAAAAACACACAGAATAATTTTCAGTAAGAATATCAAGAGGTAAGGAAGAAGGTTTGCTACCTATTCATTTGTGAACTGTGACTGCTATGATGTTAGATGCATCATCAAAAAGGTTGGAAGATGTAAAGAAAGTCACAGGTTGCAATTAAAGACTAACCTTAAATAGAAAACTTTTAGAAAGCTTTTTAGATTTATCAAAGCCAGTTTTATGAACATCTATATGCATACAGTCAGCTATTGAATATACTTTTACATACTGCATCTACAGGAAGAAAAGTACTTTTAATGTCTTTATTTATTATCACTTTTTTCTCTTTACTGCTTTAAATGTTGAAAAAATGTATACAAAATTGTTTCCAAAAATTCCTAGTTGGAAGTATCACTCACTCAAACAACCAAAAACAATCAATCCAAATCAAAAGATTCAGTTTAAAATTGCAACAGCACAACACACAAAGAACATACATTCATACATGATTTCCTTATTGTCAGAGGAG